CCCCGAGGGCCCCCTGCAGCACGACATACTGCGGCTTGATGGCCCACCGAACAGCAGCAGCAGCAGCAGCAGCAACAGCAGCTGCAGAAGCAGCAGCAGCAAGACTTCTGCGAGCACATCTTGTCGCTGCTGCTGCCAACTGGAAGCAGCTAGGGCAGGAAATGCAGCAGCTGAGGTGTACAGACAGCTCTGCAAGAACCGCGCAGCAAATGTGCAGCTCCTGGAGGCCCTCCAGTACAACTGCCACAGCAGCAGCAGCAGCAGCAACAGCAGCAGCAGCAACTGTTGTGCTGCAGCAGCAGCTGCGAGGCCCACGGCGATTGCCCCAGGAGCAGTGGCGGACCCCAGAGCTGCTGCAACAGCAGGGGAGGCCCGCGCCTGCAGAGTCGTGCTGAGCAGTAGCGCAGCAGCAGCAGCAGCAGCAGCAGCAGCAAGGCCAGCAGCGGCCAAGCCATATGGAGCCTGCATCTTGTTAGAGTCCGACCAACTTGTTGCTCCTTGCATGGCCCCCTTCGTATTTTCGCGGCGCTGCAGTTCCTCTGCAGCAGCAACTGCAGCAGCAGCAGCAGCAGTAACGGCAGCAGCAGCAACAGCAGCAGCAGCAACAGCAGCGACTGCTGCTGCTGCTGAGGCGCAGGTTGCGGAGCTGCTGGAGTGGCACATTTTTGGCTGCCTCTTTTTTCCTGCTGCTGACGAAGGGCCTACAGCGCTTCTTGTCGCAGTAGATGCTGCAAGGGGCCCCACAGCAGCAATGCACACGCTGCAGCAGCAGCAGCAGCAGCAGCACCAAGAGTTGCTGCTGCAGTTCTTCCACCTGTCAAGCCTCCGTGCTCAGCGACTCGCCGCGGAAGTTCCCTTAGGTGACCTCACCCACGTCACTTGCTGCTGCTACTTGGCTAGGGTTGCCCCACAGCAGCAGCAGCAGCAGCAGCAGCAGCAGCAGCAGAAGCAAGAGCACATGCTCACTCAAGAGACACTTGTTGCTGCATGGGATGCAGCTGCCAGGCGTTTTATTATCGTGCAGCTGAGACCTTCCTACATGCAGGAGCAGCAGCAGCAGCAGCAGCAGCAGCGACAGGGCCCGCAGCAGCAGCAGCAGCAAATCGTCTCCGTAGAAGCCTTGAATGCGTCTGCGGCTTCAGTGCCTGTAGGGCGAGGTATGGAAGAATCCAGCTTGGAAATTTCAGCAGCAGCAGCAGAGGCTGCAGCAGCAGCAGCAGCAGCAGAAGCAGCAACTGCTGCTGCAGGCCTCCCCATCAGCAGCAGGTGGTCATATATTCCTTTCCTGTCTTCTCACTTCAGCGGGTCACCTCTCCCAGTTTGCATGCAGTGGGTGCAGCCCTGCTGTACTGCAGCAGCAGCTAAGAAGCAGCAGCAGCAGCAGCAGCAGCAGCAGCAGCACTGCATCTTCGCTCAACAGCTGCCACCGCTGCTAGTGGGGTTTTCTGACGGGTCCATCTCGCTGCTGACTTTTCCAGAATTGGAGGAATTAACGCTTCTGGGCCCCACAAGGTGAGCAGCAGCTGCTGCAGCAGCAGCTGCATCAGCAGCAGCTGCTGCTGCTGCTGCTAATGCTGCGCCACATAATTGCGTGCTGCCGCAGCACATCTACTTGCTGCTGCTGCTGCTTCTACGCCTAGGGCGGTTCAGGCAGTCCGCCTGTACGTTTCTTAAGCATCTGTTCAAAGTTCTACGATTGAGGGTTTAGGGTTTAGGGTTTTGGGTTTAGGGTTTGGCCTGAGGGTTTGAGGGCTCAATGCTAGGGTTTGCGCTGCAGTGGAGGCCCCCCTCGCCTGTCGGAGTTCGTAGGTGGCCGAGGTCTCTGCAGCTGGGATGATTTGCTGCTGCTGCTGCAGATTGAGTGCCACTGCAGCAGCAGCAGAAGCAGCAGCAGCAGCAGCAGCAGCAACAGCAGCTACGGCGACGATGGGAATCTTAGAGTCTATCTGCTGAGCTACTGCAGCATCTCTGAAGTGGTACCAGAAGCAGCAAAAGGGAGCGCTGCTGCCCCAGCTGCTGCTGAAGATGCTGCTGCACCTGCAGCAGATGCAGCAGCCGCTGCTGCTGCTGCAGGCGCACTTCAGCGGGATACCGTTGCAGATGCCGCTGCAGCTGCAACTGCATCAACCGCATCAGCAGTAGCAGCAGCAGCAGCAGCAGCAACTGCAGCAGACAGTACACCGATGGCAGCCAGGAGCTCCAGTGGCCAGGCCCCGTATGAACTGCAGCAGGTACGCAGAGTAGCAGCAACAGCAACAGCAGCAGCAGCACAAACCTGAGAAACCCTGATGGCAGCAGCCAGAGCAAACACCGCTAGAAGCAGCAGCAGCATCATCAGCTGCAGCAGCAGCTGCTGCTGCTGCGGCTGCTGCTGCTGCGCTGGTATTATCCCAGGAGGAACTGTTTGTGATTTTGTTGCAGCTCAATTTCAACGGGGGAACAGCAACTGTGACAATGCGGCGCCCGTCCTGCATTTGCTTCCTTGACATACGCCGCAGGGTGCAGCAGCAGCAGCAGCGGCAGCAGCAGCAACAGCAGCATCAGCAACAGCAGCAGGTAAGCGAGGTACATGACGCAGGTGGGCCATTTGAGAGACTCCGAGCCGCAGCACGAAGGGCTGGGGCGGTACTTCCTGAGCCAGCTGAAGACGGGGCGTGTGTTGGAGCAGCAGCAGCAGCAGCAGCAGCAGCAGAAACAGAAGCAACTGCAGCAGCAACAGACGCGAGGGGGTCAGGGGTCAGTTGGCTGCTGCAGTGGGGTGTACCTCCACCTCAGCGCGCTCTCCTGGCACTCGCATCTTTGTCTCTTTCCCTAAGGAAGCAGCCAGACCAGCATCAGCAGCAGCAAGCCGCAGCATCTGCAGCAGCAGCAGCAGCAGCAGCAGCGGTAACGCTGAAGCCCCGGCTGGCCTGCTGCGCCTCAAAGCCAATTGGCTGTGTCGTTGCTGATGAGCAGTGCTGCGCCTTCGCCCTTGAGGGCTCTCCAGCCCTTTATATTAAACCCATAGAAGAGGGGCCCCCAAGGGGGCCCCCAGCAGGAGGCCCCCCCACAGGGGGCCCCCTTACAGGGGGCCCCCTGCGGGGGGGCGCCCCTTCTTCGGGGGCCCTCACTACAGGGGCCCCTTCTTCGGGGGCCCTCACTACAGGGGCCCCTCCCACAGGAGAGCCCCCTACAGGGGGGCCCCCTAGAGGGGCCCCTCCTTCTGGGGTGCCCCTTGCAGGGGCCCCCCCTCCGGGGGGCCCCACAGTAGAGGGGCCCCTGGGGCCCAAGTTTGCTGTGGGGTGGGGCCTGAGGTGTATAGACACCCGAGCAGTGAACCCCCCAGGGCTGCTGGGGGCCCCCTCGCTGCTGTCTCGTTCGTGGCTTGTGGGGAGAGCAGCAGAAATGGAAGTGCAGCAAATGGCGCTGCAGCAGCTGCATGCTGTGGGGCCCTTTCTTGTTGCTGCTAGGAGGCACGAGCGGCTGCAGCTGCTGCTGCTCCCGCTGCAGTGCCAGCAGCACCTGCTGCCACTCACACCCCGCCCGCTGCAGCAGCAACAAGAGGAGTTAGGCGCGCCTACTGCTGCTGCTGCTGCTGCTGCTGCTGCGACACAGTGGGACAGCTATGACTGCAGCCAGTGAGGGGTTGTTAGGCTCCACCTACGAGTCTCTCGAGGGACAGCAACGAAGAGCAGCTGCTGCTGCTGCTGCTCCTACAGTATTCTTATTACTGCAGCATAAGCATTATCTGCTGCTGCTGCTGCTCCTACAGTATTCGTATCACTGCAACCCAGGCCTTTGCTGCTGCTGCTACTGCTGCGGCGGCAGCGGTTCCACTCTGTTTAGGTGTATGTCCACCTCAAACGGAGGCAGAGGGGTGCAGCAGCAATAGCAGCCACACCAAAGAAGCAAGTAGAAGGCTCATTCAGCAGCAGCTGCTACGAGGAGCTGCAGCAGCTGCTGCCGCTGCAGCTGCTGCAGCAGCAAATGCGCTGGCACGCAGCCAAGGCGGTGTACGTACAGCCTGTCTGTGTGAGCTTCATCTGTGACGCACTGGGCGTCAGTTACTTGCAACGGCAGCAAACAACTGTTGCAAAGGCAACAGCAGCAGCAACAGCAACAGCAGCAGCAGCAACGGTAGCAGCAGCAGCACCAGTTTGTAGGTTAGTGCCGGCGCAACTGTTACTGCTTCAAATTAATCTGCTGCAGTTGATATTGATCGCGTTCACACTTGCCGCTGCGCTCCTTTAAATCTGAGCGCTGTCGCTGCTGCTGCTGCTGCTGTTGCTGCTGTTGCTGCCGTAGCCTGTGGGATGTGTAGCGCGAGCAGCACCGGAAGCAGCAGCCAGCAAGAGCAGCAGCAGCAACAGCAGCAGCAGCAACAGCAGCAGCAGCAACAGCAGCAGCAGCTCAGCATTGTATCAGGAGGAATAAAAATGACATTAATTGTTGAATAGCAATGCAAAACATTTCAGCAGCAGTGGATCTTCTCTAGGGGCCCCCGAGGGGCCCCCAGCCCGCCCCAGAAGGCTAGAAACGAAACCTCTGAAGACTTCCTTCTGAGAAAACTGTTTGCTGGAAATACCCAAAAGGGATTTTACTTTAGTAAAATTCAGAAGCTGTTCAACTATTTCGAAAGAAGGGGCCGTTGGAACAGACAAGGGTGGGACCTTTCGCTGCTGCGGTTCTGCTGGTGCTGCTGCTGCTGCTGCTCCTACTCGCAGGAGCTTGGTCGTTCTGAAATCCTTCATAATTCCCTATCAAAATCTGCTGCAGGAGAGCCAGGATCCCCAGATCGTCTAAAAGATGCAGATGCAGCAGCAGCAGTGGTAGCTGCAGCAGTAGACGAAGCTCTGGCCTTCACGTACCGCAGCACAGCGGGAATAGCTGCCGCTGCTGCTGCAGCTGCTGCTGCCTCCTTTTGTGCAGATCCCCGCAGCTGCGGCGCTGCTGTAGTGAGAGCGCAGCAAGTCATGCAGCAACCGCTGCAATAGCAGCACCAGCAGCAGCAGCAGTTGTTTCTACTGCTGCTGCAGCAGATCAGCACTTTTCGGACTGCGGATTTACCGCAGTTTTCCTCAGGCTGTTTTCCGATGACTCTGGAGTGTACCACTGACCCTGCTGCGGAAGCTGCCCAGCAGCAGCAGCAGCAGCAGCAGCAGCAGCGCTCAGCAACAGCAGCACCGGCACAGATTGCCGCATTATCACCATCAGTGCCAGGTGCGACTCCAGAGGAAGCTTCGGGAAGATCAGAAGCGGCAAAGTCAGCAGCACCAGCACCAGCATTAGCAGCAGGAGCAGCAGCAGCAGCAACGGCAGCAGCTGCAGCAACTGCAGCAGCAGCTGCGGAGGATGATGATCCAGTGGTGTCAGAAGATCTGCTGCTGCTAGACTTCCCGGAGTTTTCGTTCGCGCCTTCTCTCAAGAAGAGAAGACACACGCCGGCGCGCGTCCCAGCAGCAGCAGCAGCAACAACAGAAGCAGCAGCAGAAGGGGTAGCGTCCGCTGCAGCAGCAGCAGCAGCAGCAGTAACAGCAGCAGTGGAAGATGCAGATGCATCTTCGCAAGCAAAGCAAGGTGCTGAGCGCTCGGGAAGCCCGGAATCGGCAGCAGCAGAAGCAGCAACGGGAGCAACGGGCGCAGCAGCTGCAGCAGCAGCAGCAACAGCAGCAGCAGCAGCACAAGCTTCGTTTCTGCGGCAGCAGCGCCTGCAGCTTAAAGTGTGGGGTCTCGATACGGCGGAGCCGCTGCTGCTTTTGGGAGACTTTTCATTTAAAGGCGAAAGGCTAACAGAGCGCATGACCACCACCGCGTTGTTCAGAATCAATAAGCAGCAGCAGCAGCAACAGCAGCAGCAGCAGCAGCAACAGCAGCAGCAGCAACAGCAGCAGCAGCTGGAAAGCGATGAGGAAGCAAGCGTAGATGCACACGCGGAACTGGAGGGCGTTGCTACGGAAATTATATCTTTCAAGATAGATATCGCTGCTGCTGCTGCTGCTGCCGCTGCTGCTGCAACAACAGCAACGGGGACAGAAGCAAGGCCCGATGCTGCTGATGCCTCTTGTGACAACAGCTGCAGCATTGTTGCGTAGACCCACCAGCTTTAGACCTGGCACAGGACTAGCAGCAGTTGCAGCAGCAGCGGTAGCGGCAGCGACAACGCCAGCAGCAGTGGTATTATTTCATGAACCGGTAGAGTTTGCTGCTGCTGCTGCTGCTGCTGCTCGTTCACCTTAAGATGCCAGTTTCGTTTTACGTTTCTAGGGGGCCTGTCTTGCGTGAGCTGCAGCGGCTTAAGCAGAAGCTGCAGCTGCAGCTCGGGCCAGCAGCAGCAGCTGCGGCCCGAGCAGCAGCAGCCGCAGCAGCAGCAGCAGCTGCTGCTGCCGTTTTGTTGGGCAGCAGCAAGCCTTCTAGCCTGCTGCGCTGCCTCGCAAAGCAGGCGCAGAGAATGTTTGCTGTCTGTACACCCGAGACGCCCCGAAACGCCCATCGGGTTTGTCTCATTTCAAACAGCATTTGGCAATTAAAATAACAGTTTGTTTCTGGATGAAAATGCTTCATTTATTGACGATCTTAGAGAATTATTTGAACTTTAAAAGCTCCCGTCAGCAGATATGTTCAACTCTCTCCACCCGCCGTTGGGGCTGCTGCTACGTGCAACTTGCTGCAGTGCTGCTGCGGGCCACGCAGCAGCAGCAGCAGTTCTTTCAGTTCATGTTCTTTAGAGCAGCACAAATGAATTTGACTCTTTTGAATGTCCAGTGGAGTGGCGGAGAGCCGCGAGGAAGCGCAGCTTGCGGGTTCCGGCCACACGCACTTCTCGCAGAGAGAAGCACTTTATTGAATATTTCGACAGTGTTGCACTCCCCTGCAGCAGCTGCTGCTAATGTGCCACATCTTGAGCCACATGAGCCTAATTAGATTACTCAAGGGGAAGCAGATGAATTCGGATTTCATTTTGGGGCTTTTTAGCTCGGCCTGCGAAGTTGTACAGCGGCTTTGCTGGCGGCTGGCGGCCGACTGGGGGCTCTGCTGGAGGCCCCGCTGGCGGAGGAATTCCCCTGGAGTTCTGTTGATATGAATTTCAAAAAGAAGTCTGAAACTGCAATTAACAAATCAACTCTGGCGGCGCCTCGATGCCAGCCGGGTGGGCACGCACGCCGCAGTTCAAGTGTGCGGCGTGGCTGCAGCAGAGCGGTCGCCGGAACTCCAGTTGGGATCTTCTCTTAAAACTCCTGAAAGAATAAACTTTGTCTCCTTTTTATCTTTCCGTGGCGATCTTTTCTTGTTGGGGAAGCGCGGGGGTCTCTGAGACAGTTTGTGGCCTCCGAACATTTTTGTGAATTTGTGTCGGTGGCGGCGCAGCCGCTGTGCGGCCTCCGCGCGAGAAGACCCGTTTTGGACTCTTCAACCCAGCCTTCTTGAATTTGAATTGCAATTGCAAATTGAAAATTTATTTGGAGCCAAGAGTCGGAGGCGGACAAGTGCGCGCTGCGGCGTTTCAGCTTCCCGTGACACCCGAACAGCATCGGCGCCGCAGCACCTGTTGGCGCTTCTTCAGAGCCTCCGTTCCCCACCTTCTTTCCGCCCTTTGAACTTGTCCTTGGAATTTTTCGAGTTTTATTTTTGCAATTCAACAAGGAGCAGAGCCGTGGCCCGCAGCAAGCCACAGCTGTGGCGGGTTGAGGCTGCAGCATCCGCCACGGCAGTGCGTCGTTCGTTTTGAAACTGCGGCGACCGAGCTCCGCCTCTTCTTCGTCTAAGTGCTGCACGCAGCATTCGCTTCGAGTTTGTGTGGAGTGCGCGGCCGTGCTGCCTCTGCCGCCGCGGCGCTGCAGCAAGCGCGTTGGCTGCAGCAGGGCAGCGCGTGGCCGGGGCTGCGAGCAGCTGCTGGCGGGGCCCCCGGCCATGAGCGGCGCTGCAGCGATGCGGGGGGCCCTCGAACAGGAGGAGGGCGGGGCCCCCCTGAGGCTCTTCCTCGCCGCGAACGGCGTGGGGGCCCCCCGCTCCTCGGAGGCCGAGAAGCAGGGCCCCATCCGCCCCGCGTTCGCCACCTCGCCCGCGCCCGGGCTCGTGCGCAGCTACTCCACAGCAGACCCCACCAACGACGCCTTCACTGTGTCCCACGAGCTGGACTTCGATGACTGGGTGACCACGGTGCTGGGGACTTTGCAGCTGCTGGTGTCTTCTTCCGTGGTGGCTCTTGGGGTTTATTTGCTGTTCACTTGCCCCGAAATGGCCCGAGAGGCGCCGCTCTTGTTTTGCTTCGTGGCCTTCTCGCTGTCAGCAGAGCTCGCGCTGCTGCTGCTGGTTTTGCTGCTGATGCTGGCCGTGCGGCTGCTGTGCGGCGCCGCCCGCGCCGAATACACCTCCGCCGTCTGCGGGATCTTCCACAGAACTATGGAAGGAGTTATTTATTTTCTTTGCGTGGGCTTCGGGGGGTCTTTGTTGGTGCTGCTTGCCACCGGGGACCCGCAGGACCCGTGGGTTCGATACCTGGGGAAGCGCCGGGTGTTCGTGTGGGCGTTCGTGGGGCTCGAAGTGGCACTTTGTCTGCTGTATTGCCTCCAAACTATTCCCACTCTTTACGGAATATGCAAATTTGTGTCTCACAAACTTTATTTGAAAGTCACTGGCAGAGAAGAACACGAGTTCCAGAGGCCTGACGTCTCTCTCACCTACGCGCGCCTCGCTGACTATGACTACTCGCTGCGGCACATGCACAACCCTGCTGCTGCTGCTGCTGCTGCTGCTGCTGCTGCAGCAACCGACACTTCAAGGATGTACGTACACTCCACGGAGCCAGACACTCCCGGGGCTGCACAGGCGAGCGAGAGAGAGCAGGCCCTCTTGGATCAGAATATCTAAATTCGACACTTTTTCCGAATCAACAAACTCCGCAACAGCTCAATCTCAGCTAGCCAGAAACTAGCCAAAAGCCAGCAAATGGCTAGCTGGCAGCTAGCCATGAACTCACCAACAGCTAGCTGTAAGCTGGCCAAGTGTGAGCTTGCTGCCAGCTAGCTGCAAGGATACAGCAGCTAGCCGCTGCTGCCCTAAGCCTCACGAGAGAGGCAGCCCCTGCGGCGGAGCCACAGAGGCGAAAACTGAACAAACAAAAGCTTTAGCAAAATACTTTTTTAATTTACTTTCATATATTTGTTAGATATCTTCGCCACGCTCTACACAGAGTATCCATTAGCAGCCGCTACACCATGTGCAGTTCAAATAATTTGTGCTTTACGCGTGTAGCATATCATGTATCTGATGGATGCACCAAAGCCGCATTGAATATTCTTTACCTTTATGTCGCATTGAATATTGTTTGCATTTTAGACATTTTGGGAAATTTACTCAGCTGCCTACTGGGGGAATTGCACCCTCGAGGCCCATCAACGCTCCGCCTGTAGCAGCGGCAGCAAGCAGCACTTAGATTGTGGTGCTACTGCTGCTGCTGCTGCTGCAGGAACAGCAACGGCGCCAGCAACAACGGCAGCTAGAGCCTCCATTAGGATCTTGTGCATTAATCCCTACTACCAGCCTGCTCGTGGCAATGAACCACATATTATCTATTCTGCCTGCATACAATAGCTGCCCCAGCATGGGCAGCAGCAGAACAGCAGCATCTGGGGCGCATCAGCAACAGAAGTAGCAACAGCAGTAGCAACAGCAGCAGCTGCAGCAGCTGCAGCAGTTGCAGCAGTTGCGGGAATCAATGCAGCGGTAGCAGCAAAAACAGCAGCTGCAGCAGCAAAGGTGGCCGCCTTGCGCGAAACTAATTGCCAGTGCCCAAGAATGAGAAATAGAACACAAAGAACAACAACACTGGGGTCCATGTGAAGTGGAAAGTAAATGAACGGTCAAAGGGCTGCAGCAGCCCCAGGCCCACAGAGGCTCTGCTGCGGCTGAGAGGCCCTTGGCACCTTCCGGTGCCCTCAGATCTTCCAGATCTGGCCATAAGAGTTGGGAATCAAATGGACTTTAAATAAATGACAACTGGGCCGAGGCCTGCCGTGACTGTGCATCGTTAGATGCCATTCAAGCCAGGAAAGAAGGTCTGATGCACTGTTTGATGCAGTCCTTGTTGCAGACTCCTTTGCTGAAGGTGCAGCTAGCCTTGTTGCAGTTTTCTTGATATTGTTGCTGCCGCAGTGGCTCTTTCTGTTGCAGCTGCTCAGCTTGGGCGTCGAATCTTCACTGCAGCTGCTGTTCCAGCTGTTGCTGCAGCCGGTGCTTCTGTTGCTGTTGCTGCTGCTGCTGCTGTTGGGCTGGGTCCTGCAGCTCCTCTGTCAGGGTGTGGGGTCTTCAGGCCCATTTAAACCCTCCACTGTGTTCTTCCGCGTGCTGCTTTCATTTTCTGAGTTCTGCCCTAAGTGGGCATAGCGCTGCGTCCCGTGCGAAAGCTTGGGTGCTGCCCGCTGGCTGCTGAAAGTGCAGCAGGACAGACACATAAAACCAAAGAAAATGAAGAGGAGCAACAGAAGCAGTGATGACGGCAGCAGCAGCAGCAGAAGCAGCAATAGCGGCAGCAGCAGCAGCAGTAGTAGCAGCAGCAGCGCTAACAGCAACAGCTGCAGAAACAGCTGCGTCGTCAGGTCTTTGTGAAGCTGGGCTCAGTTCCACCCAATGCACTTATGCGGCGAAGACATCTTTGTGTGTGAACTCCGAATTACGCAGTTAAGGTTCTAAATGGTAAATGTGGAGCAAGTTGAAGTGCAACTGCGAGATACTTGGATACCAAATAATTCGTTCAGTTTGCATGCAGACTGCATGCAACAACAGACCCAAACGGTGCTCACCGTCTAGAGCCCATTGGGCTACTGTTCGTCCCGTGGCTACCTTCGTAGCTTCTGCTGGCTTCCTCTGAAGCGGTGCTGAGGCATAAAAGACGCAGCAGCAAAGACATTTGTGCATGTGTGCAGTGTCTATAAACTCCAGCAGCAGCAGCAGGAAGCAGCAGCTGCCGCACAGCTGCTGCCAGAGTCCCGCTGCGTGTGCTTAGGGAAGAAATGAGTCTTTGTGGCTCAGTCCGGAGTTCCGTGACTGCGCTGTATGTACAGCTGGGCCTCACCTGGATGGAGTCCTGGAGCGAAGACCTGCGCAAATGTATCTTTCATTGATTTTGAGTCCTCTGAAAATGGGAGCAAAGCCCAAGACGATCCCCAAAAGCAGCCCCACAACTGTGGAGGCGACGATCCCAGCAACCCCCAAACTGGGGTAAGTGAAGACACCTATGACTGCCCCGCTCCCGAGGCCCCCCAGGGCCCCCAGCCACGCCCCGCGGCGCCCCACAAGCACTGTAGCCACCAGCAGACTCATTAGGGCCCCCCCCAGGTAGAGGGCCCCCGCCCAACAAGAAGGGGGCACCAAGCCCCCCACCATGCCCCCCACCACTAGCCCAATGCCTCCAGCCACCAGCAGCCAGTTGCCCCCGCCTCTGTAGAAGTTCGAAGCAGACAATCCCTGGGAAAAAAGCAACGCATGTGCAAAGCCAAACTTGAAATACAAATGGAGTTTTCGCTTGGGAGAAAAGACTATTCTTTGCTTCACTCTGCAATATGCCTAAGTGCTGAGAGGCTGTGCATCAGCGCATGCATATATTTGTGCATTTTGGGGGCCCCCCTCGGCTCCCCTTATATAGGCAAATGCACTACTTCAAGCTTGATATGCATTTGCTGTCTGCTTCTTGCTGCTTCCCCCTCCTTAAGGGGTCACACTTGCCTGCGAGTACAAAGAAGCCGTCATGTAGAAGGCAATGAAAGTAATAACGGAGTAAAAGCAGAAGACCAAAATGCTTAAAGACCAAACGGGCCAGCAAGAGCACTGGTCCAGACACACGTCCGAGTCCTGCAACAAATAAACAGTATAATTAAAGCACAACAAAAATAGCAAATAATCAACTAGCTCGTCACTCTGTAAATGCACTAGTCTAAGTGCGAGGTCGCTTGGCTAATTAGATCCAACTTGACTGTTCCAGCCGCCAAATAACTATGAAACGAAGCAATTAATTTAAAAATCCACGAAAATATGAATTACTGAAGCAGCAAAGCTGCAGGTAAGCACGAGATAACCATTTCGTTGGGTGTCAAAGGTATAAGAACAGAAACACGAATGCATGAAAGCGTCATGAAGAGCCGTGAGGGAAACACAAACTGAGACAGAAACAAAAAGGAAAGCAAGAAAAAGCAACTAAATGGTCTCTTCAACCTGTCCATACACACATCAAGAGCCTCGAGGGGGAGAAAACTCAAGAAGCAGCAGCAGTAGCCACAACTGCTGCAGCAGCTGCTGCAGCTGCGGGTTGAGTTGCAAACAGCAAGACTTCTGGGGTGTACGTACACCTCAGCCTTATGTAGGAAAAACGAACACATTGCTTTCTAAGAAAAAAGGACCTCTGGCTTCGATTTTTCACACGGAGCAGCCACCAGTGAACAAATAGTTGAAGCAAAACAGAAAAATAGCAGAAAAAGAATCAAAATCCAAAAAAGCATCGACGTCTAGAGCCACACAAAAGCTCTTCTCTTGTACGTTTCTTTCTCTCTTTTGTTGTTCTTTTACTATTCAAGAAAAGGAGAAAACAAAGAGATATATTTTGAAAAGTTAACTTTTGAGAAAAAAAGGAAGAGTGCAGCTTACGTAGTGGTATGCAACGTGTTTCAGGACAATGGTCCGCCCCCCGGAAGCTGCTTCTTCTTGCTGCTGCGTGGCGAGAGACTCCTGTGCTGCTGCAGCTGCTGCAGCTGCTGCAGCTTGGGCTGCTTCTTCTTCTGTTGCAGCTGCCTCTGCTGCTGCTGCTTCCTCTTCCCCGGCCTCACTAGTAGGAGCGCCCTCCAAGTTGTCTTCTGCTGCTGCGGAGTTTTTCGCCGGTTTTGCTGCCGGCCTGGGGAGGGTACCTAATTGCTGCTGCAGTGCGGGGGGCTGCGGTGCTGCTGCTGCTGCTGTTGGGTAAGCTGCAGCAGGTGGTGCTGCAGTTGCTGCAGCTTCTCCCGCGTTTTGCGGCGGGGTTGCTGCTGCCTGCGGCAGCAACCCAGGCTGAGGCCCTGCAGGTGGTATTGGGAGAGCAGGTTGCTGCGCAACAAAAAGACCTGCCGGTGCTGCTGCTGCTGCTGCTGGTGGAACTGCTGCTGCTTCTGGCCCTGGTGCTGGTGCGGGAGGTGCGGGGAGTGCTGCTGATGCTCCCGGTGCTGCTGCTGCTCCCGGTGCTGCTGCTTGTGCTTCTGGTCCAGCTGCTGCTGCCATACCGGGCGCACTCTGGGGTCCTGAATAGAGTGGAGACACGCCAGCTTGTGTTGCTGCTGCTGGTACTGCTGCTGGCGCTGCTGCTGGTGCACTTGCTGCACCTGGTTGTCCTGGCGGCGGGACTGCTGCTGCTGCTGCTGTGTCCGCAGGGGCTGGAGGATTCAGCAGTGCAGTTAATTTAGTTGCTTGGGGTGCTGCTTCTCCAGGCTGCGCAGCTGCTCCTGGTGCTGCGCCTGCTACTGGTGGCTGGGCTGCTGCTGCTGCAGCTGCTTCTGCAGAATCTGCTGGTGCTGCTAAAGCTACCGGCGCTGCTGTTTCTGCTGCCTCCTCCGAAGCAGTAGAACCATTACCCGGATCTTCGTTAAGCTGCAGGTGCAAAAAGGTCTGAGATTGAGGCCCGCTGCCCCTGAGGCCATCCCAGTGTTGCTGCCGTAGCTGCTGTTGCTGCTGCTGCTGTAGCTCGTGGAGCTGCTGCTGCAGCTGCTGTTGCTGAGCGAGCTCTTGCTGTAGCAGCTGCTGCTGCAGCTGAGGGTCATACGTGTGATGGGATATGTCCTGCATGCGGCTTTGAAGAGCCACAGGCTCTGCTGCAGTACCCCCTAGCCTCCCGGGGCCCCATGTTGCTGCTGTGGTGTTGCGCGCCCAGGCCAGAAGGGCCCCCAGGAGGGAGGCTGAAGTGAAGCAAGGTCTCAACGTTTGCCTCATTGGTGGGAGGTGGGCTGTAGCTGTTGCTGCTGCTGCGGACGCTGTTGCGGTGCTGTTGCTCTTGCAGCTGCTGCTGCTGCAGCTGGAGAGCGGGGACTCAGTCCTGGCTAAAAAGACTCTGGATGTCCTAGATTGAGGAAGTAAAAATTCCGAGTTGAGATGAATAAAAAGTAGCGAACTGAACCATACCTACAGAAGAACGACAAGAGTCGAGGGCCTCATGGCTCGCCGTGGTTCGGTGGCCCCCCCTCAGCCTCCTCAGCAGTCTCAAAGGGGCATAGGGCCTTACAAATGAAGTAAAATAAGTACGGGAATTAAGCAGAAGAAGGGGAAAAGAGGCCAAAACAAGCCAACCAGCAGTTCCGCCGCGGCGTTAGTGAGGATGGAAAGCAGCGAACGCAAGGGAGAGGGTGAAGAGGGATTAAAAAGGGTGTTTAATCCCATTAATGAAAGAAATAGGGACAAATCAGTATTACGGGGGAATAAATGAAGAACGGATAATCCCGAGAGCCCATAGTGTGGCCGGGAACGGTAGCTAGTGGATCGAGTCACGTCTCGGCCGTGACGGTCAAGAGGAACTTTAGCTGTGCGAATTGGGCACAACTTCTGTCCTTTTCCCCTTTTTTTCTCTAATTTGCAATTAAAATTGTTTAATAAACTTCATCTGTCACTATTATCCAGCAATTCTGGGCGAAAAGCCGTAGTTAGCCGGCTGGCCGCAGGAATTCCACGAGCGCTGACCACCGGCCCAGAGCCACCGCTGTCATTCCCACATCCAAGAGCCGCCATTGAAAAATAAATAAACTGCTGACATCCTTCCTGTTTGCGAATTTCTTTTATGAATTGCAATTAGACACGAGTCCTCACGCGTGTTGGCGCCCATAGCTGGCGTGGTTACCTGCTGCAAGAGCTCCAGCTTTCCACCTCGACTATAAGGACGTGCCAAGGGATGGGTTTTCAGCATAAAAACACTGCCTGCACCTTCTTGTGCATTTCACAGCCACATGTTTTGAACAAAGAGCTTTCACAAATTGCTCTTGTTGCTGCTGCAGCTGGACAATTACGGCCTTTGGCTGCTGAGTGGCCAGCTGGTGGAAATAGGCCTTGAGAGACTCATCTCTTAACCTTACCTACTTGATGCTTTTAGATGGGCCATGCAGTTGTTTGAGTTTTTGAAATAGCAGCTATTGCTCCTGCTGTGGTCTCTGGCGGTTGCGGCAGCATCATTAATCGCTTCTGCTCTATTCTATCCGTTTGCCCATTCCTCTTTTTGCGCAGATGCATTAGGAATATGTTCAAATATGCTTGCAATACAGTAAAAAGAGTCTAAAGGGTTGGGGCTGGCTGCATGCGGCGAAGGCTACTGCCGAACACCTGCAAATTGATAAGCATCTGCACGGCACAGCGCAATACTTTGTCACTCACTGAGAAAACTTTGTCCCGAATGTCTTCATCACCCCTCTCAATTTTCCCTCATTCCATCATTTTCAAAGTATTTTGTGGTTCAGAGGTGCAACAATGTGTAGGAAGCTCCACACATTTGTACGAATTGCACGTTACGCAGACGTAAATGAAAATACAGGTGCTTTTAATGTGTTTAATCTTTGGCTCTTTTTAATCACTATTCCGGCGGCATCAGCCAGACTGGTAGTCCTACACTTATACGCTTCTGGTGGCCCCTCAGGGGGCGCCGAGATGTTCAAGTCTTCAAGAGAGCTTCTTACCAGTCACTTGTTCAAGACTCACTCGAATCAAATAGAGGATACCGTCAAACTGGTAGATATGCAAGTCACAAACAGCAGCGCAACGGATGCCCAGCTGACTTATTTGCAAAGTAGCCATTCGGTTGAAGAACGCACGGCTTGCTGGCTAGCTGCACATTGCTGTCCAAACAGCATTGAAAATGAGCTTCCAGGAATAACTCAGAATTCCGTTGGCAATGTCAATAAGTGCTGGTAGGTGCTGAACTGCCACAGGAGAGATAAAGGTAATGAAAATGTTCAAATTAACGAAGTGCGCATGTAATATTCATATGCGAACTCTGCTCAAACGCGCATTGGGCAAATGCATGCTTTCTCATGTGTATATCTGCATGCTTTAATGCATGTTCGTGCCCATATGCGAATGAAGGATTTATTGGTGCTTGCTCATGCGTCTGCATGCAGTTCCGTACTTTTTATAGAGGGGGCTGAGAGACAAGGCCGTAAGAAACTGCCAAATGCAGCAAAAAATCGTAGAAGAATATATATTGTGCAGTGCCTGCGTGTTACTGCTATGGCCTAAACAATTTGATCACCTTAGCATTAGTCCGGGCTTTAACAAGATAGATAAAATCGGCATTCTCAAGCAAATTTTGCGCACCATGAAAGCATATCCTCCTTTGTGGGACCGACTTTCTCTTTATATATTCTCTTCTTTCACTTCTTTATCGTTAAATTTTGAGCAGCGGCAACAACTGCTCAGACTACACAAAAAGTACCAGACCCTGGTCCACTAGTTTTATAGGCGACAAGGGAACACCGCACTCTTTGGAGATTCCACGGTTCTTTCGCAGCCCCATTCAGTAAGTTCCGCTGCAATTTCCCTTGTGCTGCGTAGGTTGTAAAAAGAACAAACAGAGTTCATAATTTCAAGGGTTATTATAATAATCTGCTGAACAGAAATGCCCCAAGCATTGCAAGGCACTGGGGTTTGCTTCGAAGTGGCCAGAGAGCCTACAACAGGCTGCGCGTAACGTGCATAGCCAGAATTAACCAGCACCTTGCCAAGCCATGCATGAAGCGCGCGTCAACGTCACAGAACGACCACAAGGCACTATCATTGTAGGACGTATGGGGGACAAGTCCCTTGCTCTTTCACTGCTTTGGGTGTTTCAGTTATTCTCAATAAAACGCTACTACACTCAAGTTGCCTCTCGCACCCCACACAGAAAGACGACAACTTCTTAACAGAAAGACAAATTCAATGTTTCTTGCCGTCCTAAAGTATAGGTGCCTCCATTAGTATATTTTGTGTGGGCCAGCAAATGGTAAGGGTGGCGTGGGTCACCACACACACTCCAGTGCGCCGGTGCCAAGCTACGCTGCGAAGCGAAACGGATGGACACCATTTAGTCAGGGTATTTTTTAAATTCATGAACTTCACCGTTAAAGCCATGCGAAGGCAGAAAGCGGGTTTAAACGGTGTGCAAAGAACACGTGTTGAGGGGCGTGGCCCCGTCGATATTGCGTAAGATGCATGTCGTTGCCAAAGCCGCATTGAGCCAGTAAAAACGGAAATTAATCTTTAATAGTAAGAGTAAATGTATGACAAATAAAGAAAGAACGGGATTAGATGCAGTATGTTACCATTCGTTTCATGCAGTGGCCCAGTGGTCACGTCGATTTTGGAAGCGCATCACCGCTAGCGCGACTACAGTTTTACGCGGTCCCACACCAACTCCAGTTCAACTTATCGATTTCCTCCCTAAATTCTGTTTTTTGTTGTAGGGGATTTATGGAAAGAATGATTGCATCAGCAGTCAATATACGCGCACGCCGTCAGGCAGTGGCAGTGAGGTCATCGGTGACTCTCCTCTAAATCCCCCTATTTTTATTGCATCACATTCCGAACAGCTCCTTGATCGTCTGTTACGCACTGGTTCTGACAGGTTCTATTGCGTCTTGCTCCCTCTCCTGGATCATTCACAGCGCCCCATCACAAGAACAGAGGGCTAATCAACACCAGATTCCAACTGCATCTCGCAACAGCACTGGGTTTGCTTCCCCTGAGAAGTACGCCGCAAGGATACATGTGGACCATTCCTGCCAGAAAGAGTCGTGAAGGCCCATCTGCTGGGGTGGCCTTGAGGGGAAACGGTCAAAGCGATGTCGGGCATCAGCCCCGAGACAGCCTCTGCCAGCACCGCCCCTGTGCGCTCAGCAGCCACAGCAGCAGGAGGAGATGGGAACTCAAGTCTCTGCAGCGGACCTTCCCCATCAGAGCCGGGGAGAGGGCGAGGCCCTTCAACGCCTCCGCCTCTGGGTAGGCAGCAGCCGAGGTGGACCCCCCGTATAGCCCAGGCGCAGGCTCAGCAGTCACAGGGGTCTACAACTGGCCTTCCAGCAGGGAAACCAGCAGTTTGTTCTGGAAACCATGGAGGCACTGGCGATAATAAGTCCGCCAGAGGGGTGCGGGAGGTACCCAAGTCCTTTGATGCTACTAAAAGGGACATAAGAGATAGCCTAGACGTGCAGAGCGACTCCTCGCTTGCTTATGCTGAATACCCCGCCATGGATCTTGTACAGAGCGAGGCTGAGCAGCCGCGCAAAAGGCAGAAGTGGCGCTGCTGCCCTCTCAAAGCTTTAGATCAAATTTCACAAGCCACAGACCGTATTCTGGTGCTTCTGTGGCGCGCGCTTACATTCCGCCTTCGATATCCCATCATGAGTCTCATAGGCGTTTTGGCTCCAGGTAAGACACTGCAGACTGAAATAAGCTGCCAAGACAAGACACTTAATCTTATTCCAAATCCCTCTAACGCCATATATTTAGTACATGTAGTAACATGTAGCTGCTGGCTTTTCCTTTTGTTAACTTAAAACTAGGAAAGCAACTGGAGTTTGACTGGAGTTGCCTCTTTGTCGCTGTCGTTGTCTGCAGTGATATTGGTGGTGTCGGCCTGTACCATTCTTTCTCACTACCAGGACTCAGGGGTGAGCCATGCTGCAGTTAAGGGCGTTTAAGTAAATAAAGACGCGCAGAGGGGTATTTGCTTGAGACTGGCAGTCAGCTGCAGTAAGAGCAGCACCAAGGTGTGGAAGTATACTTACATATTCTTATCGTTCTGAGTATATCTATCCTATCTAGTTACATGTAGAATAAGTACATTGATGCTTTGGCAGGCCTATACTTAACCTCGGGGTAGCTGTTTTCCCCGTGCTGACGCTTCCACTGGGAGGAACGGAACACTTAAGTGCGGCTCTACTCTAGCCTGAGTAAAGGTTTCCCCTACTTGTGGCGTTTTTTTCAGGTGGAGTTCGTGCCTGCCAACATGTCGAAGAAAATCTACATGAACTGCAACTTTGCTGATTATAGGAACATGATGGCCGACTTGGAAAAAAACAGCAGTACGTTTTGCGTACACTGCTCAATTCCGGGAGCTCAAAAGCCCCAAGAGCCGTCGTTACAATTTTTGGGGCTCACAGAGAGTGTTCGTAGTCTTAGAAAAGCACCGCAATATTGTAGTATACAACTACCCGCTAGGAGAACTTTCAGCTGCGGCCTGCTGCAGTCACATGTTTATTTCTGCTGTGTGAGCTTGCAGGCTTGTGCAACTTCCCGACCAACATGATGCCGCCATTTGGTAGACGTTATGACGGCCTTCGTCTAATGTACCTCCCAGCGGTACTGTACTACGGCGGCTATATGGCCTTCGTGGATAAGTCAGGCAACGACTGCCAGCAGCTTCGCCAATTTATGGAGAAGTTCGTAAGGACAGTAAACCCTTGTAAGCCGCCTCAATTCTCCATAATTTGAACTCCAAGCACTATGTTCGTAGAAGCCAAGCTTCTGGTGGAGCGCGTGTTGACTTATTCGGGCTATGTAACTTCGAAGAACGAACGCTGCTGCGAGAGGATACAAAACCCTAAGCAATGGGCTTGGGAATAATCCTTGCAAAGGAGACTTGTAGGTGAACCCGAAATATCTGCCCTATTTATGCAAACTACTTCAGATCTCATGGACAGGACGAGCGAGTCTGATTTGTTCATTTCGTTTCCTTCGGAGAAGGCGCTGGACAAGTATAGACGGTCTTCTGCTGCTGAACGAAAGCGACCCATATATGCCGCTTTCGTCTGCAGAGCTGCAGCCCCGGGACAGCTGGATGTCACTATCCGGATGCACGTGCGCCGGGGAACAGTAAGCGCAACAGTTCATTTCGAGGAGTACTGAATATGCAGATTTAGGCGTGCCATTTCGCGTAGCGGTGGCACCGCATTTTGGCCAGATAGCTCACAGGTGGCCAGCTATACTATATATTGTGATATGAGGTTTCTGGGGACGAGATGCCGCGTGGTATGCATTTGGATTGCTATGCCCTGAATGAGAGCAGCCCCGGTCGTTCAAAAATGACACAGTGAAGCTTCTGAAGCAGCACTACACGCATTACAACTCCACGACCTACTTTGGTGGAACTAACTTCTTGCTCCAGGCAGATGTAGTGGGCACAGCAGCAGAAGGCCAGCCCTATGGCCATCTTACTGGAGGTTTTCTGGACCTCTTGACTCTCGCCCATGTATTCAACCTACAGCGAACTGGAGTCCGCGAGATCCACACTGGCTCGCCTGGTATGCCGTCTCATGATGAGAAACAGTGCCAATGTACAAAAGGCAGGCACCGAGCGCAAACCACAGATGAGCAGCAGAAGCAGCAATTGCCGTTCTTCTTAATGAGTATTGACTTGTGGGCTTTTGGTGTATGTTGCTTGCTTCAGGGTTTCAAGCTCAATGGTACCGCACGTCGCAAGCCTTCTTTCAAGTATTTGACTACTTCGGCCGTATTCCCATTCTGGACAGTGTCGGTAGGTGCTATCTGACTAGTACTATGGATTTAGCAACATGGTATTGCTGCATTGGAAATTTACGTTGGTATTCACATTACTGTGGAAAATGCCATGGGCACATTTAGCGGCAGTGGTTCGAACTAGGTCAAGCCGTGCAGAACACGCAAAATTGTTCCAGCCAGGGCTTGTCGCCTCTTGTGGCTTGCCTTCTAAACTCGCTTTGTTGCGCTTTGTGAGCCCTCATTAGCATTCTCATCAAACAACCCCGATCTGTTGAGCTTCTTTGTCGGCGAAGCCGAGCGCCATCTCTCTGAAATGATGGCGCTTGTCCTCTGCATTTCATTTTCCAGCATGCAGGATTCTTCAAACGGTGAGTGCAAAATATCCATCCATATTTACGTGTTAAGGCGTTTTTGGGTGTGTTTGTACAAGTTTGCTCAACTATAAGCATAGGTGTACTCTTCCCATGTTCGTTGACTGAAATCCTATAAGGCTCGAAGGCAGTGGGCCCACATCGGCCAGCATCCCTTTGTGTGCTTTGTATCTTTCTGTGCCCGCACATGCATTGGGTTTGTATCTAGCAACATCCTGTGCGCTTTTTCATGCTTCCAGACGTGTCACAAGCGTATCGGCATCTGCTTCCTACGTGGCTGCTGGGCCCTGGCTACGGCGTGGTTCGTTTGTTTACGAGACGAGCAGTGAAAGATGGATGCGATCCTGCTACTTCCTCGATGCAGTTGCTCCAGAGGGTACGTTTGACTCAACGCTTTCGAATAACGCACTTGCCTTGTTGCATTCAAGCTACGCCTTGTCTTCAGCTGGCACATGAGAGCTTACAGACACTCGCAGCTGCAGTGCACAAGAAGAACAGCCAAGCATCCTATTGAATATCCATGTCCCTGCAGCTCTTCTACACCCGCACCCAAAGAATGGGAGTGGGTTTGGTTGTCGCGGCTGCGGGCCCTTTGCACAACGTGCTGCGGGGCATCAGTGGCCCCATGCGCAGAGCTTACAGCCCAGTCGATTTCTTGTAAGTATTCTCAGTTCTATCCTAACTTGTAAAGACGCACTTCAGGAACAACCCTCCGAGTACACTGCATGCCACTGAGCAGCGACTTGAAAGAACTGTTTCGACTGCGGGAAGGCGCAGGCGCATAGTCTAGAAAGGCGAAACTTTTGCATGATTACGATCAGCATCCTATGTAGCCTGTAGGGATTTAGAGTCAGTGGTGTCTGAAAAATTCCTTGGTATGCATTCTCAGAGAGTCCGCGATGCCATTCGCCCCTGCAGCTGTGATATCTCGACAAGGAAAGCCTCACTCGTGCTCAGCACCCTTCGTGGTATTATTTGTTTGCATTCTTTGGCAAGTGGTGAAAGCAATCATGGTGGACAAGGAAACGGGATTCAAAGTGGGTTATCAGGCCTTTGTTCTTCTACACCTCAGCTAACTGAAACCCTAGCCCCAAATACCGCCAAGTAGCTTCAACATATATTTAGCACTGAACTTTTTTTCAGTTCTAAGTATTAAGCCGTAAAAACTGGTGTGGCTGATTCTGGTGGCACGCCGTTGTGTCATGCAGAACATGCTCAAAATTTTGGGAATATCCGACAAGATTTTGTGGCTGTCTTGGTATCTCTTCTTCATTCTCTACAACGTGCCGGCCCTTTCGGTGGTGGCTGTGCTATCTAGGCATTTCGCCTTCACCGTGAGTGACATCTGGTTTATTGTGGCGCTATTGTCGTTGGCATTGTTGGCATCCATTGCCTTCGCCTTGGTAGTCACCGCCGTTTTCACAGACGGAAACCTTGCAGGCGAGTACAAAATATGCACAAGACGATTTCCTTTACACTCAGAATTTCTTAATGGCTCAGATCTGCACATTTTTCACAATGTTTTCCCGTACAGTCCTGCATCGTGGAGCCCTTTGGCACACTCAGTGTTTTGTCTGCGCTGCGCTGGGTTTCCTGTGCTCAGCAATGGCGGCTTGCGCCTGGTATATCCTTATTTGGGTCCCCATTGTTTGTCAACGGTTCGGCAGTGCAGCATGGGACCCTCGTTTGCAGTGGTCCATCATGGTTGCCTGCCCTGCAGCGGCACTTGGCGTGGTAAGCACCAGGCGCAATAGGCAAAGACAAACTACCGTTTCATGCTTGGGTCTGTGCCTATGTAATTGTACCGGATTCATGCACATATTTGAGCACGTGATCAGGTCTGCAAGCCCAAGACCACATGCAGATGTACTAATTTGCTTACACGCCGCTGTCTCCATATGTCAATGTGCATATATATACAGGAGTAAATGAATTTATCCTCCTCTGTAGTATTATAATGAGTCAACTGAGCAGGCTAGGCTCACTGCCCCACCACCTGCCCATGTGCTCTGCCTGCGCAGGGAATTGATATTGCTTGGATTTTCAACGAACCCTACATTGGAGGCATCCGCAGGAGCACTGCTAAGTGAGAGGTTCTTCCTTGAGTTCAAACGCAATCAGGTTCTTATAAAGATAGGTGCTTTCTCCCCGCGTAGCCGTTTTTGCATAACTACATGCACAACTGTGTGGTGATTCTTTGTGTACGAAGCTTCCCTTCTCTCGGCATCACGTTGGCGGACACGTACATGGCTCTGGGCTTGAGCACTGTTCTCTTCACTCTCCTAGGAGCCTACCTGCACAAAGTATTGCCAAGTAAGCGGGTTATGAAGACCAGACGAGGGCTTTCTAAAATGCCTACGTAGTTAAGTGCCCTATTCTCTTGCCGCTTCTACACTGTTGGTTCTTGAGCTGATGCTCATTGGTTGCGCTGGAGCCTACGGGTGATCGTTCCGTGTTTGTAGCATCCAACGGGAGCCCAGAACATCCGCTTTTCTTCCTGGCCCCCATTGTATCCTGCGCGCGTCGCTGGCTTTGCTTTTCTTGTTGCCGTCCACACGGAAGATCACGCCATGGGTTACCGCGTGGTCCTGAGGGCATTCATAGAGCTTACGATGATACGTTCAGCATAAAAAGCAGAGGAAGCGATGAAGACAGCAAGGTAAGGGCAAGCCAGCAGCTAGCGCAGTACTGGTGGTGGGTCAATTCACCGAATTTGTGGCATTGGGTTTGTAGGGTAGGACTTAGAGCTTTTCTTTTTCTCTGCCACTTGGCCGCACTCAGTAGTCCCGAAGGCCCACCACTTGGAAACAATAGTGGTACTTGTATCGGCCTAAAACGCCTCTTCATCCGTTGTTGACTGCTTTGCAGCTTCTCCTTGACGTTCGGGGAGTATGCAAGAACTTCCGTACTTGGAGGACTCGAAAGTGCGCCAGCGGATCAGTTCAGGCAGTCAAAGGCGTCTCATTTTCAGTCTACCGTGATGAGATATTTGGACTCCTCGGTCAAAACGGAGCTGGAAAGTCCACTTTGATTTCCGTCATAACGGGCTCTCTGGCTGCGACCAGCGGAGATGTCACCATTGGGGGAGTGTCAGTGCGGCACCACCCGTCCCACGCGCGGTGCAGCATTGGGTGAATAATCAGCACAACTGCAGACTACGTTTTGTTCACTTTATAAGTGTGATGGCTCTGGTGCTTTTCCCCTTAGTCTGAGGAAACATGAAAACCTTCAGAAATACCTAATGCCCCACTTTGCTTCCACTAACCGTCAAGCGCTTTCTTCCTGCTGTACTTTCTGTGGCTCCTCGACTCTCAGGTACTGCCCCCAGTTCGATGTGCTGTTGCCCTATTTGACGATTGAAGAGACACTGTGGCTCTACGCAGCACTTCGCGGGATTCCTAGGGGTCGCCGAAAAGAAGAAGTGGCGGAGCTAATAATGATGGTAAAGTTTGGATGCTAAGCCCTCCTTAGACCCCATTATCTTTAGGATATATATATATTCGCTTGGAGCTTTTCCAGCGGCGCTGTTACTGTATTCAAATCCCCTTCACAGCAAATGCCCTTTGCTGCCCCTTGCCGTGTTTGTTTGGCTACTTCTAATCACTGAATCCAGTGTAATTGCTATTAATTGCAGATGAGGCTCTCGGAAATGGCCAAAGTCCAAGTGGGAACTCTCAGTGGTGGCTGGAGAAGACGCGTGAGCAGTTCAGTTGCCTTCCTCGGCAACCCAACTGTTGTTTTTCTCGACGAGCCCACGGCGGGTAAGGCATGTAATGCAGTTTTTCTTTCATCGCAATATCGCAATATTTGCATCTGCCACTCAAAGCCATGTTCGCCGAACAAAGCCCTCTAATTGGCTTCGCGTGTCTTCTTCTTTCTGTCACCACTTTATGTAGCGTGGCAATACATGGCTTTCTCTCACGCAGTATACAATATAATTTGCTTTTTGCAAATTCCCTTTTCTATAGGCATGGATATTCTTTACCGGAGAACATTTTGGGACTCAGTGAGAGGCCTGAGCAAAGGCCGCTGCATTGTGCTCATCACCCACATGATGGAAGAGGCAGATTACTTATGCGACCGCTTGGCCATAATGGTTGACGGAGTGCTTGCATCGGAGGGGACGGCACTGGCACTTAAATCGCGGTAGGCAAATAAGGGGAGGATAAATTAAGAAACAGCCCAAGTTGGAGCGCCTGCTCTCTGTATTGCTTCACTGCCCCTATGCTGAATATTTTTATGGTGTGCTTTTCTGGAGAAATGTTTTTCTACTCCAGATTTGGAAGCGGCTATATCATATCAATCATATTCCAAAAGAAAGACGAGCGCGAGGAACAGCAGGCAAAGAAGAGGCTTAAACAGCTGCTGCAGACATTTGAATATCCTCCTGCCATCAAGGAGGTGTCAAGGCACGAGCTTCGCATCATTTCACCATTCTGCCACTCCTTTCAGCTTCCACTGTGAGTCACTGCCGTTATTTTAAATACGGAAATGTAATATATGGAGGCAAAGTATAGGAGTGTCCCATTTCCAGAGCAACGTGGTCTAGGTTGAGAGCTTCTCGGCTCTACCTATGCAGGAAAACCCGCCTCAAAGTGGATGGCGGGCATCTTCCTTGGTTTCCTTCGTTGAAATATGGTAAATACTGCGGTTAAGTAGACCTTTGCATTGTTACTTGATGCATGTGTTTCTTTCTCAGTCTCTTTTCTGAGCTGGAAAACCGGGGTGCCCTCTACGGAGTTGAGAGCACTGTTCTTGGGTTTGCCTCCTTAGAAGAAGTGTTCCTTAATGTTGTCCGAATCGCCACGCAAAGGCGTTCACCGGATCTGCAACACAAGAAATGCAACAGGAGCAGAGGCTCCATTCGAGACGCGAGTAATAATGGAAATGCTGCAGTGGAGGCTTCTTTGCCGAGACCAAAAGAGCCGGAAGGTTCAGTGCTTTCCGCTGCAGCAGCTACGCTTCCTCCTAGGTGAGGAGGAATACATAAAAGCACGGCTGTTTCTGTACTATCGTTTGTTTTGCCATGCCGGCACACATCTCAAGAAGACCATTTGTGTCTTTCCTTGGGCTGCGAATATTTTTTGTCTCATCTCAGTCTTCTCAGACTTCTCGGGTATGCTGTCTCGAGCCTAAAGAAAGCCCCGCAGCCATTCTTGCATGTTACCACACTGGCCTATAAGGAATTCACACTCCATCTTTTGTGCATGCAGGAACCAAGAGGGAAATATTCCCGGCCGCTCCCTCAATGAAGCATCCAGGGAGCCTCAACCAAACCCGCCAATCACCATGCAGCAGGAATTGGGTAAAGAGGAAAGCCAGAAAGAGGGTTGGAGCCTAAGGAGCTCGTCTTCAGCAGACTACGCCTCAGACAATACACTTCAGACCAGACACTCGAACTGGCTGTCTGCATATCAAGCCAACAAAGGCTCTAGACGAGGCCTCCTATGGCAACTTGTAGTCTTACGTGCATTAATAACCAAAAGACTTCGTCTACTTTATCGCGGTGAGCCAGCAGACTATAGATTTCCACGTGAGAAGGGCTTAGCAGCGCTGCTGCTGCTTTGTCTGTAGAGCAAGCATACTCTTCTACTGCATATGTTTGCTTCTGTTTTTCTTAATGTGTAATGCAGACTGGGCTCTCGTAACGGTTTCGTTCCTCATTCCACTTATCCTGATGGGTCTAACGCTTTACCTGCGAGCCGAGTGAGTCAGCGCTAAGAACTGCTACGCCTCTAGCACGCCCCTGCACTCTTCCTTACTCTGAACATGCAATAGGGTGCTGCAGCAGCAAATAAATTATCTTTCCAGTTACATTTTTTCCTTTTACCTTACCCAAGTTCCCGTGTCCGTCCATTATACTGCGCTCTTCTCCCCAGGAAGTCGGAGCCTCGCGTTCCCATCTCGGGTCAGCAACTTTTCGAATACCGACTGCCCAAGAGCATTCACTCAGAAGTGCCCTACGGAGGTTCCGGCTGGGCAGTCGAAGCTCTTGACCAGTGCTACTCAGTAGGTGTTGCACTAACTGTATCTCACTCAGGATGAGCTGGGTTGGTGTTGTTTGGGTGGCAGATTTTTGTATTATCTTGCAGCAATCAGGAACGTCTATACGTAGTATAGGGCATGCGCTTCAGGGCTTAGTCATCATCGTGCAGTTAGGAAATGCAACATATGGGCTCCCATTCCTGAAGTGCTCTTCATATTCCCTGCGTACAATCGCAGCCCTACATGACCCACCAAAACGTTTCCAAAAAGGCCAAATCCAATGACGGCATGTATGCACTTCTCCTCGACGAGTACTATGGGTCTCACCCAATGCGCTTCGGCGCCTACGTGGTGCCTGGAGGCCAACCAGACATAAGCGATGCAACAAGCCAGTTGGAAGGTGAGCTTAAACTTGTAGCGGTAGACAAGATGCCAGCAAAAGCAGCTGCAGCAGCAGCACCGCTGCAACTAGCATTCTTGCTGCTTCTCCCCTTCCCTAGAAGGCACAAAGAAGGCTAATGTACAAGCAAGAATTGAAGTTTTGTGCGAGTCTATGTGGTCTCTTGCAGTTACCATCTGGCATAACTCCACTCTGCGGGACACGTTGCCGTTGCACTATAGCCATTTTCTGAATTGCATAGCGCAACAGCGCACAGGAGTGGTGGATGCCGTCTTCATTAGGTGGGCACTGAGTTAATCAATCACTCTTGCTGCTTGCTTTGTGTTGGGCCTCTGGTGGCTAGTCTTGGCTTGAACTCCAGCTGTGCGTGTAGCATAGACGCCCCATTCTAGGCTCTTTCTCTTGCGTTGCTTCTACCCTTCATATTACAGCAATCAGCCGTTTGAAGACAACGACGACAAGGCTTTGGATGGCATCGTCGTGGCCTTCTTCACAATTATTGCGTATTCCTTTGTGGCGGCCGGAGTGGGTAAGGTCTGCATAGTGGAGAGAGTGCGAAAGGTGCGCCACCAGCAGATTCTGGCCCGTGTCACTCCTTTTCAGTACTGGATATCCAGCTACATTGTTGACATCATCCTCCTCATACTGCCCTGCTCAATCATCTTCGGAATGATACTTTGGATCGATGTTACACCCCTCGTAAGGCCCCACAGAAGACCTATGCACGCAACAGCACGGCCAGCAGCTTCGATATTTGCCAACACCAATTCACGTGGACGGCTACATTCAACTTCTTTGAAAATTAGCATTGGCCCACGAGCGCATGTTATGTAGTTGCAGATCCCATGAGATTAGTCACTTGAATGGTTGAAACCTTCGCACGGCAGCACATTTAATTTAATTTCGTTTTGGGCAGTCACATATTTGAGATTCTCATGTACTTGGTATAATCACCCCTTTATAGCTACTTCTTTATTAGTGTTCTATGCAGACATGAATGGGGCCATCAAGCCTGCTGTGGCGTCCAGCATTTTCGTCTCAGGCTTGTTTTATTCTGTTGCTTCTATTCTTTTTCTCAGGTTGGGCCTCATCAGCGCGGAGCGTTCCTTCTTGGCTCTCTATTGTTCTGCTTATCCGTTTGTCCCTTGGGCTATGCGATATCTATGGGTGTCGACTCGCCTATGACTTTTGTCATTGTGATGTTGCTGCTGGGGTGGTCCTTGCCTTCTATTCAAGCCCTCTTCACCGAAGTCAGCGGACTTCAGGGGATGTACAGCAAATACCTGCGATACATATTCATGCTGATTCCCCATGCTGCGCTGTGTGAGGTAAGGATCGCAAGTTTGTGTTGTTTCTAGAGCTAGCATTTTCATATGTTGTGTCTGCCTTGCCTTGGGCAAACATTATTAGCTTTCAACAAAGAGGTTCACAATACCGGATCCCTAGACAGGTCTGCAGGTTACGTGCGTTGCCGCTTCTCAGTTTTTTGTGCATGTGCAAACACACCTTTAAAACATATGTGAATAGACGCATATATGGCACTTGACAAGTTATCTAATAGGTTATACATTCTTACCAGCAGATATGGTGTTCTAAGCCTATTCAAGTCGTTGTCGCAGAAAGTCAAATTAATTAAATGGAGCTTCCGGCTGCAGAATCGACCAATTTTTTCCGCGTCTTCGTTTCACAGCTGTTGGGTAACTTGGCGGTGATGAATCAGCTGACTGGCAGTTCCATAAAACCCGCGGAGTTGGTGAATTGGATGGAGTTCGGAAAGACCGGCTGCCCGCTGCTTTACCTGGGCACCACAATATTGCTCAACTGGGCGATCTGCATAGCTGTTGACTGTGCCATTAACTACCCCATGTCCAAAGCCAGGGCCCAGGCCACCCTGCACAAGCTGCTGCACGCACTTATCCGCCCTGTCACTGTTAGGGTCTCTGAAATATGCAATTTCTGCCTTCGCCGGCGTAGCCGCATTACAAACAGTGAAGGCCTCACAGCGGTGGGCAGGCAGGACAGGCGATGCAACTCCCACTTCAGCGGCCTAGAGGTGAAGGGAGCAGCGAATTTCATCACAGGAAAAGTGAACAACAGAGCTCTATGTCTTCATGTCAAGGTGAGCTGGCTTAGTTGCCGGATCTGCCTGTTCATTGCTACAATGGTAATTAATAACGTGTTGTGTTTATATTTGCATTGGCATATTTTCTGCTTCAAAACAGCACAAGCTGGCTTGCTGATTGATTGGCGCGTGTCCCAGGCTTCAGCGCAACGGGCGTATTGAGCTTGCGCCTGAATCTTTTTCCCTTGAGCCATATTCCGTGATAGGATGCAAAATAAAACTCGTCATTTGAGGCTTTCCCTATATAGAACAGTATTGTTTTGTTCGTTAATGCAGGACGAAGAGGCGAGAGCAGCCGCGGCAGTCAACCGACTGCGGCAGCGTTCGCGAGTTGACAAACTTCGGGTGTCTGCAGATCATCCATCCAGCATTGGAGATATTGGTGATAGTTCGCCTGCAGACAACAATATGTTTTCTCCGGATGCTGCTGCTTTGAGAAAGGAAGAATCCGAGCTGCCTCTCGTTGTATACAAGCTTGAAAAGACCTATCCTGCACCCCTGATAAAGCGTTGCATGGGATGCTGCTGCCCCCAAGTTTGTCTCTGGCACCGACCGCTGTGTCGCTGCTGCAAACGTGCACAGCCAACTCGAGCCCTTGAAGGGGTTTCTTTCTGCGTCCCCAGAGGGAGCTGCTTTGCCTACATTGGTACGTTGTGTCGCTAGTTCGCATGCAATACCCTTGCTATTTTGTTCATTGGTTTTGTCTATCCCCTCTTGCAACGCTTATTTAGTGAATTCCTCTGCGGAGTGTTCAGATTTTTTCTTCCGCTGCTTCTGGAATTGTACAATGGCTTGCATGTGTTTTTTATATCTATCTGCTTGCCCTTCAATAGGTGTGAACGGATCTGGAAAGTCGACTACTTTCAATATTTTGAGCAGTCTGATGTGTCAGTCTGGTGGATCTGTCTTTATTGGGGGTTGGGATACATTGGTGCACACGAAGAAGGCGCGCGAGAAGCTACACTACTGCCCACAAGCCGGTAAAGAGTCACTTCTGTACCACGGCCAGTGCGCCACGCTGTTGCCTGAAAGTGTACATATGCTGCTTTTCTGATTTCCCCTTCACTGAATATTGTGCACTTGTCCTCTTTGCATGCATGTGATGACAAATGGGACTGGTAGCATTATGACAGTGGTGATTGTGAGCTTAGTAGACCTTGATGGCCTAAGGAGCTGTAGCCTTCACAGAAACTTAACTGAGAAATTTTATGGGCTGCTGCTGATTGGACTTGCAGATGCCTTACTGCCCACACTGACTGGAGCTGAGCATGTCTACCTGTACGGCTTTTTGTTGGGCCTGAGCGGCTCTCGTCTTCGTCGTTTTTGCTCGGATTTCTTCGATGCGATTGGCTGCAAGAAGCACATGCACAGTTTAGTCAAGTCCTATTCAGGAGGCACAAAGCGGAAACTGAGTCTGGGCATCGCCATGCTAGGAGAAGTAGACTTGCTGCTTCTAGACGAGCCCACTTGTGGAGTGGATCCGGAAAGCCGACAGGTGCTGTGGAGGATGATTGAGGACGCCAAGAATAGCCAACTCACTGGCAAGGCAGTGGTTTTAACTTCCCATTCCATGGAGGAATGCGAGGTTTTGAGCGACCGGCTGGGCATCATTCACAGGGGCAAAATGATATGTCTGGGCACCTCTGCTGAGCTAAGGTCGCACTACGGCCACGGCTACCAGATTGAATGCGTATTCGAGGCAGCAGCAGTTGCAAGAGACCATTCACTGCCCCGCCGCTTTGTCAGTACACTCCAGAAAGCTCTGCCCGCACTCCAAGTGCTACACCGCATGGCTTACAAAGTCACTGCCTCCATCGTGAAGGGGGATGCGTCTCTTGCTACAATATTCCGCGAAGTTGAAGCAGTCAAGGTGAGCTCGAAGACTTCAGCAACACATTTATAACTGCAAGTTTTCCTGACAGGTGTTTTAAAGGCAGAAGGGGCGGGACACACACAGACATTTGCGTCGTGCACACCTATTACACTACATGTCATGTGTTGTTTACACTTTCATGCAACGAGGCTTGACATTTCATGACCTAAGCTCAATGAAATACCGGTAATGCAAACAAATGGGTTTTGAGACGCTTTATGTCAAGCATGGCGAATAGCCCTACACCACAAGCAGTCTCAATGGACTTGAACAGCGAGCGGCAATTTACGCTGCTGCTGTTCGCTGCTAGCGCACTTGTTGCTGCTTTCCCGACCGTCTTCTTGCTGCTGTTGCTGCTGCTGCTGCTTCTGCAGGCTCATTTCGCTGTGGAGGCCTACATGGTCTCTGAGACCACTCTGGAAGAAGTTTTCGTTGAAGTCAGCCAACGCGCTGACCGGGGCGCAATGGGCGCGTGAGGCTTTCACTCCCCCCGCCCTGTGGGCAGCAATGCTGGCCTGGCCAAATGAGAAGAACAAAATGAAATTCAACTCGAATTTCATGTCGAATTTTATGTCGAATATCATGAATTTCATGTCGAATTTCATGTCGAATTTCATGCCACCATGCAAACCTCGGCAGAAACCAAACGCGGTTTAAGTTTCACATCTTGTTGTTCACCCAGGATGCAATGAAAGGGAATACAAATAACTTCTTTATTCTTAAGTGGCATTTACAATACGGCACGAGTATCAGGCCGAGCTGCCGGCCAACAGACGCAGTGGCTAGGCGCGCCAGACACAGCGGCTAGCTGGCTAGCTAGACCTGAGTAGCAGTGCCTAGCTCTGTTTGTCCTGACAAGTCTAATTAGGTCTTAATTTTAAGTTATCTCGCAGTTGGTGGCACTGTTGGCGTTGGCTTGCAGCGCCCAGGCTTAGATCGATTCCCTACCATTATATGCAGAAAGTAGATTGTCTGATACATATATATGCGTCCCTATGGTGTTAAAAAGCCTTATGAAAAGCAGTTCTGATTTGCGAGTGGCCATTGAGTAAGCGTTTCCTTTAGAAACAGAAGCCAAGAGAGGCACTTCAATGAAAACTAGAGGTGAAGAGCTTGAGGGGAGGTGGCGGAATACGGCGCTTGGTGGCTTGCAGGGTAAGTTAAAGTGAAACGTACTAGTATTGAAACTGAGAGTGTAACTGCATACAAAGTGTAGTCACAATGCCCGATAATGTGGTGAGCCCATCACTGCATGGAATTCCGAAATGTGCAATGTTCTTACTTTCATTTTGAGGTAAAAACATGCGCAACTCAAAGGCTTGAAAGGGGTCATTTTTGAACACACAACAGTACGTGATGAAAATACGTAATATGTGAAAATAGTGACATAGCCCGGGACAGAGAGGCACGAAACATGCAAAAGAGGCACATTGAAAGTTGAAAACAAGCGACCATGTGCCAGAGGCCCAGATATAGGCGAAGAAACTTCTCAAAATTACCTTCTGGCTTATTTATTAGTATATTCTGAGCCAGAGTTTAGCTAAATTGAGTGTTTTTAGCTGTGTGGAGGATTCAGTGCAGGGCGCTCAGCTACCAGGCGAATCGGGCAGCTATGGACGCAGCTCTTCACTGCGAAGAAAATAATTAAATGGCTCGATTAATGAATCAAATGAGTGTATTAATTCAAAATAATCTGCAATTATTCTCGAGTAAGCATATGATTTTGTGTGGGCTGCACACGAAGTTGTAGGCAACCCTTTCCATTCGGCCCTGGTGTCCTGCAGCTGTGGTCCAGTGGGACTGCTGGGCCGATCATGTGTCGGGTCCACCATTGCTGCAGCATTTCTTTCCCTAATTTATTCAATTTATTAATTTGAATTGCCTTTGCTAACTTTATGCTTCTATTTTTTTAAGCCTTCACCCCCCACGATGTCCAGTACCCCCTTCGGCCTGTCGTCTCAGCGAGTAAGCCACCGCCCACTCACCGGTCCTCAGGCCTAATTACCCCCAATTTTTGTCGAATTTTATTATTTTAACATCATACTTAGAGCAAATTTAAAATAAGAAGATTCAAATTTATCGGGGAACTGCCACAGGTCGCCCCAGTCGCCAGTCCACACTTCCTCTCATACGCCCGACACAGGAAGGTCCGGTTAAAGGGAATGTCTAGTAAATATACATACAAACTGGAAAAATATTTGAATTAAATCAGCATCTAAAAGTGCTCACAAACAGTTTTCAAATTAAATTTTGATCTCTTTCAAATTCTTTACGCTCCTTTCACCCGCTGTGACTGCCTCCGAGACACGAGAAAATGGACATCTTTTGGGCTTGTGTGCATTCGTTGAAGCAGTTGAGAGGACTTTCCCAAGGCAGTAATAAAATAATTTGAAATTAATTTCAAACAATCAACACTGGAAGCAGAAGAAGAGGTAATATGTGCGTATTCTTTTTCAGTTTTGTTTGTGAAATGCAGCGGCAAGAACTGCGAGTGGCTTTTCATGCCTTCGACAAGGACAAAACGGGAAAGTTAGATGTGTCAGAAATGAAATACCTTTTGAAGTCCATCGGCGTCTGTCTTTCACGAAGAGAACAAAAGGCCTTGGAGGCAGGCGAGTGGCCAACTCGAAACAGCTTTTGTTCATTTAATTTATTCTTTCCTTGAATCGCGAATTAGTTTTGTTGATTTTTTGGGTTTTATTTGTTCATTATTTCACGATTTGAGCCCATTTTAGCCCCCCCGTCTTCGTCTTTCTCCGCTTATTCTCGCCTTGCATGCCAAGGACTTCTCAGACTTCACCAACGCAGCTTTCCCTGACTGTTTGTGTTTTATTTTCTGTTTTAACTCCTCCAGAATACGCAGATCGCGGGGAGTTTGACTACGAAGACCTCCTGACCATTGGCCAAGTGGTCTACAACGATGTGGCCATCGAAAGAGCCCTCGTTTTGGCTCTCCGCAAATTAACGCCTCCAGGCGCTAAGTCCGTGCCCAGGGCAGTTCTGCGGGACATGCTGCTTAACTTGGGTGTGTTTTTTTCTTTTTTAATCCATTTCCCCCCCCCAAGTCTTTAATTCTGGCGGCTTAAAGTTCCATTAAATGGACAAGTTCTCAGTTGTTTCCCTTTGTTTGCGTGGCGATTTATTCTCCTATGGATGTCCACTTTTGTCCATTTTCTCCTCTTGTGATTTCGTTTTGTTTGTTCATTATTTAACTCTTTTGTTAGACATCTTGACATTTTTCTGCTTCTCCATCGGCAGCACAGGAAGCAAGACTGCATTTCCAGTGTAATGACACCAGCGATGCCCGATATGTCTTTATTTTCTCTTCTATCTCTTTATTTTATTTTATTTAAGAAGACAACTTCTTTTGTGTGACTCCGTCAACACTTTTACATTTTCTGTTCCAGAAATAATTTTTTTTTAAAAACGCACTCAATGCAAATATGCAGCTGCTACATACCACTTGGGTGTAGCATGTCTTTAAATGCACATTTCCCCTTTCTCGTTTAGACAATAAAGTTATATTTCTTTGAACTTTTATTTTTTGTTTTCTGTCTTGCTGCCAGGTATGGGGGTTAAGCTCACAGAAGAGCAAGTGGACATGTTTTTAGACATTTGCTGCAGCGAAGACGGCAAGCGCAGCGACCAAATAAAGATTGCCACTTTTATATACAGGTCAGCAGGACAAATATCAAAAAGAAAGGTCTAAATAAAGAAAAATAAACGAAACTGAAAATTAATTCGCAAAGTTGCTCAGGGTAGCTTTTGAGGGGCATTCACGGGCCAGAGTTCAGGTGTACGTACACCTGGCGAAATCTGCGCACATTCTGCCTGCTTCTCAGGGTGCTGCGTGACTGAAGAAATAAATGAATTTGAATTATTAATTCTAAACTGCAAAGAGCGGCAGATTGGAATCTTTTGAGATATCTCAGCAGGCCAGCAGCAGACTTTAAGCATTTTGTCTCACTGCGGCATTTTATTTTTTTGTAACTGTTTTAAAAACAATCTTTTCCGGCTCCACAGAGGGCAGGCGAGCTCTGGTCTCTTTCAGCATGGAAGCTAAAAATGCAGCTAGCTTGCTAGCTAGCTAGCTAGCTATCTAGCTAGTTAGCTAGCTAGCTAGCAAGCCAGGTGGCTCGGCAGCTAGCTACTGGCGGAGCTACTTGGCTAGCGAGGCGAGCCTAGGGCTCTAGCTAGCTAACTAGCTAGCTAGCTAAGGACTGCCACTTTAGTCCTATTGCATCCCTTTTGGAAAGAGGAGAAAAGGACTTCTCTGAAGAGCTCTTTCAAGAGTCAAATCAAAAAAAAGTCACTTGCAATTGGGTCTTTATGTATTTGTACAATATATATATATATATATGTAGAGCTCTGAAGCCTCATATAGAGAAGTCGGCGGAGTGGGCGCTGTAGTATAAGGAGACCTGCATCGGCTGCAGCAGCAGCAGCAGCAGCAGCAAACAGCCAAGGGGGAAAAGTGAGCAGCAGCAGCAGCACATAGGACTCTAAATAAAAAGCTGCTGCGGATAATAAAAGTGAAGCTGGAGCTGCTGCAGTGTGCAGCACTGAGTCGCAGCGCTGGGAAGAGAAGTTGCTTCTCATTAGCAGCAAGAAAGCACGCTGGATAGTTAGCTAGCCAGATAGATAGCTAGCTACATAGCTAGCTAGCCAGATGGATAGCTAGCTACATAGCTAGCTATCCAGCTAGCTAGCTGTCCAGCTAGCTAGCTAGCTATATAGCTAGCTATCCAGCTAGCTAGCTATCCAGCTGGCTCGCTAGCTAGCTGACTCCGTGGCTAGCTAGCCAGCTAGCTAGCTAGCCAGACAGACAGACCCCAGCTGTATGTGGCATAGAGAAGGCCTAAATACATGAATGAAATTGTTGGAAGGGCAAAGACTGTGAACTTGCAGGACATAAAAGATAGAAGAAAGGGAGGAAAAGAGAAAGAAGAAAGAAGAAGTTGAAAAGACGACAAGAAAAAAAAAGAAGAAAGTAGAAATTAAAAAGAAGAAACAAGAAGAAAGAATAGAGTGAAAAGAAAGAAGAAGAAGGAAGAAATCGAAGAGAAGAAAAGAAAAAAGAAATTGAAAAAGGAAAAGAGGAAAAAGAAATGCAAAAAGAGAAAAATAAAAATTAAGATCTCACCGAGGCAAAGACAGCGCTGGCCGTAAGGCTCTCGAGGCTGCAGAGCTTCTCAGGGGGCCCCACAGCTGCTGCTGCATGCAGCCCCAAGGGGCCCCCAGCAGCAGGGGGCCCCCTGCTGCTGCTGCTGCTGCTGCTGCTGCAG